TCTATACAGTGGCATTTCCAATTTGGCCAAACTTCACAGATTCCGCTGAGGTTGGTATAACTGTGAGCTCTGCACCTATATAAGAATGGCAAATAAAGGCTGCTTTAATATGGCGGGAAAATATACCTTTGTTAGTTTAAAACTCTAAACTATTAGAACAATAAAAGTATTTATCTGTTTCTGTGCTCACTTGCAGTTTCTTGCTTCAATCACCTAAGCCAGTATAAGGTATGGATTTGAAAGAAAGCTGTAAAAGTTTCCTTGAAAAGAGCTGTAATCTGAGAGCATTCACTGGAAAACGCTTTGTCTGTACACAGATAGTAAATGGAAATATAGAAAAAATAAAACAGTTTAAGATGATCAGATTCAGTGAATTTCTGATTTATGCTAATGCTGGCATTATATTCTGGGTTAAACATATAATCCACTGGGAAAAGAGAAAGTACAGTGAGCATCACATTGCTTAGGTATCTGCCACAAGTCCAGTGTCATTCTAACTGATAGTAATAACAAGTATCAGCCTATAAATCCAAGTAAATTTGAGGACTAGGTAGAAATAATCATGAAGTCTAATGAAGAACAGATACAGTAGTACACAATCAGGAAAAAACAAACAAGCAAAATCCTCCCATTCCTGCCATGTAGCTATTTAGAGAGTGGCCTGAAAGCCGGGCTACCTGGGCTAAGGACCAGCTCACACATACTGACCATGAGACACTCAGCAAGTGGCCTAACCCCTCCAAGACGAGCTTTTTTATCCATAAAACAAGGAAAATAATACTATCTACTTTGTCAGAGCCGATGTGAGAAGTAAACAAACTAAAGTATGGAAAGCACTTTATACCATGCCTGGTGCAGAGTTAAACAATCATTGTAGGTCTTCTTATTTCATCTCAGGCAAAACACACTTCATGCAACCTTCAAAAACTCTGCTGACTGGGGGTTCCCATGAGCTTGGGACAGCCTGGTTTACAGGACTGGTCTGTCCCAGAGAGAGCACCCTTGCTTACTCCAAAAAGCATCCCAGTTTGAATACGTTATATGGCCCCCTACAAATAATAGCCATCTGTTATTCATTCCTGCCTCCAAGCTGCCTTTCTGCTGGTCTCCCCAATTAAATGTTCTCAACTCTGCTCCTCCTTCTGAAACATTTCCACTGTCAATCTTTCAGAACTACTGGTTTTTCTAAGCAGAATGAGCATCATTAGCTCCATTTTATACCTGTGAAAATTGAGGGAGAAGAGAAAGGGTAAATTCAGAAATTACAAAGAGAAGAATTCAGAGATATCTGGAGTTTACACAAATAGCTCAGAAGAAACGTATAAATGGCCAAGCTAGGCCTAGAACTCTGGTCTGATTCTGAAGCTCAGATTCCTTCTTAAAGTCACTATGAAGGAAAGAGAGAATAATAAAATGTGTGTATCTAACCACATATATATCGTTATATATTTGGCTTATTAGTTTACACATGACCTAGGTAAGAGATGGGCAGATGTCTACAATAGGAGGTGGCTTCAAATAAAGAAAGGGAAAGGGAGAAAAGAATATTGTTTCAATAGGAATACTTCAGTTTATATTGTGATTTTTAAAAACCTGTGGTAAATATAAGCAGATAATAATGTATTGTGTTATCACTTTCAAAAACACTTAAAAAAATCTTTTAAAACACCTTGTAAGGTAAGTGAATATCATCCCATTCCTTAAGAAGAAATGGAGGCTGACAGGAGTAAAATAAATTTCCCAAGGACCTCTGAGACAGTAACTGAGCTGGGACCATAATTCAGGTCTTCTGGGTCCTCATCTCAGATTCTTTCTGTCACACCTATCTGCCTCTGAGCTCTGCTAGCAAAAGATGATCATTTGATCAGGTAAACATGGCCTTTAAGGGGTGGAACATTCAACTTATCATGGAAGCCAGGACACTTGACAGTAGAAGGGGGTACTCGTAATAATTATATGGGACACTAGGTGTCAATGGACAGTTCCGCCCAAAGTGGGATGGGTGGTTGCCTTGCACTTTAGCTTACAGTGCACTTTACTGTAAATTTTATGCATTAAACTTCCAAGAAATGAGAATTTTCATTTTTCTTAGAAAACAAAACAATTCATATAATACTTAAAGCACAATGCAATATGGACCTTATTGGGTGTCAAATGGTTAATGTTCAAGAAAACTCCTGAACATAAAAACATAGATGAGGATTCTGAGAAGAACTAAACTATCTTCTCTGCACATACAGTCCTGACCTAACAGAGTCCCCACCCTGGGGTCAACAATGGTGAGACCCAGAACAGGGAGCTCTATCATAGTCCAAGGAAACCAGATGTGTTCTGGCTCCATCCTGAGGGAACAAAGGGAGCTTTGTACACTAGAAGTGACTTACAAGTGCCACTGCTGAAGTGGCTTCTGCCAGCCTGCTTCTGTTAAAGGGTGCACATTCCTGAGTGTGAGGAAAGAGCAGGGTGCAGAAAAGTAATACGTTGGGTTTAAAGTTATGTCCTCATTTTGAAGGGGAAAAAGTGTTTTACTAACAAATTCAAGCCAACAACCAGGCAAAAGGTATGGCTGACCAAAACCTGCCTCCTGGCACTTGAACTGTTCTTGTACGTTGTCATCCCTTGGGAATGAAGGACATGAACTTTGGGTTATTTAATGGATTAACCCTTTACTTCTTTAGGTTGATTAATGAATTAACCCTTTGCTTCTTGGTCAAGTCCCTGGACAAACCACTTTTCTAGTATGTGTGTGCAGACTTATGTGCCAGTCCAGAGGATTCTCAGCTTTATTCAAATGAAGTCTTTCTTCTGTTTTTTTTTCTTCTATTCTTGGAAAATTATTTACATTATTTTTGGAGGAAAGAGGCTTAATCCTTCTAGAGATGATTCCTCCCCAAGTATTAAAAGTGGTCTTGCACTTTAAAGAATAAGAAACCAGGCCTAAGTTGCCTGTCTTTACCTGCATCCAAAAATTATCTTAATGATACTTATGAAAAGATCCTTATTTCACTGTTACGAAACAACATAGGGACTGAAAGCCTGCTGTGAGATCCTGTTGAGGCTCTGCCATTTCCTAGCTGTGGAACTTTAGCCAGGTGAGTCTCCTTATCCATAGTATGATTCACGGCTCAAGCCATACGCCAGACACTTCCACTCATCTCCAGATCATGATAAAATCGAAGCTTTTAGAAGTTCAGTGGTTTTCTCACAAATCACAGAATTGTAAGAATTGGAGTCAGGAATTAAATATGACCCTCTGAATTCCAAACCCTTTCCTCTACCATGGTCTGCTTTAAAATTCTTGGGAAAGTGTCACTGAAGACAAAAATAATGCTATGTTAAATATCAGTTCCCCCAAGAGGTAAAAACAAACAAACAAAAACAAAACAAAACAAAAACCCAATTATTACAGAAGATAATTCTTACATAAGTAGTAGATCTGACTGAATAACCTACCATGGATACTGTTTAACAGTTTATTTATAATGCTAAATATTGGTGGCAAGATCATATATTTTTCTGGATAGCTTTTAGGAATAAAGACACAAAGCTTATAAATGCTGACAGAATACAGCATGTAACTGCCTGAATACAAAGACTTAATTGACAATTTCTTCCTACACATTTGTCTTTAGAATTTAGTGACCTAAAAAATACTCTTAATATACCTAACATCCCTAAAATGTTCATGTGAAAGTGATAGTTTTAATGATGACATCAAGTGTGTCTCACGATATTGCATATTTGAATAGAGAAGGACAAATTCTCCTCAAAAGATGCTAATAATGTTTTCAAAATAAAAAACACAAAACAAAGTCCTTCTATCTTAGCCACAAGATACCAATACAACTGAATTTATGTCTACTTTAATTGAACAATGGAAAAGTCAGCAGTTAAAGGGCAGATAAACTTCCCTTTGTCCCTCTTTTCCTGAGAAACTTTTAAATGTTGAAAAATCAATTCCTTTTGTCCCCTTGTTATTCATCTGCTACACATTAAATAGAAACTCTGGGCATTGAGTGATTCCTGCAGAGGCTTTCATCTACAGAAAAGCCTGGTACAAATTAAATACTTACTCTCCCTCACAAATTATAGATATGTATTGTAGTAGACCATCGATTTATCAGTCCATGCCACTGTGAGTTCAGCTTGGTGGCAGCAGCCCATTGTAGTCCTTTATCTAAAGTTACTCTGGGGTTGAGAATTGTGATGCTATATTAATTAATGTGGAGCATTAGTATTCTGCTCTGATTTTATAGGCTGTATTTTTAAAATCATTTTGTTTGATATTGCGTTTTGGTTACTTTGTAGATCTTTGAGCCATGTAGGCTAGCTGTGTGTGTGTGCGTGTGTGTGTGTGAGAATTACTATATTGGAACAATAATATGTGTAATATTACCACTAGCAGCAATATTATGCTATGAAATGACCATCATATGAGTTATCACAAATAATGTAGAAGTACAGACTGTCTCCAAGTTTTCTTAGAAATATTCAGTTGATGCAAACATTGTTTTAGCATTGGACTTTAAGACCAATAGCTAAGGCAGTGTTTTCAATCCCAAGCCTGCCAGATGTCTTTGGAGATCACAGCTTACACAGTATCTATTAAATCTCTTCAATTAGAAGGCAAGCATACACATACTCAAATGCACACATACATAACACACACACACACACACACACACACACACACACACACACGCACACAGACACACACAGCTGAGCTATGATTCTCTAAATAATGCTGGGAAATTATAAGAATTTCACTTTAATTGGTAACCCACTAAACATTCAAAACCTTTTTTGGCAAAGATTCAGTGTTCAATAAAAAGACAAATGTGATAAGCTCTTGGCCAATTCCACGAGTACCTTGACTTTCCCCAAACTGTTCTAACATTTTTTTCCAAATATTTGTCTAAACTGATCACCATAAATAAAGAATGAGCACTCTAATCAATGAAAACTATCTTTTTCATTTGGAGGCCCCCAAGACACCTCACCTCGCTCGAATCCTCCTGCTGATTGATAACTGCCAGCGCATCCTCTGCCGCCTGCCGCTTGGCCTCGGCGACCGTGCGCTCCATCTTGGCCCGCTCCGTCGTGATCATGTCATGGGCTTTCCGCTCCGCCTCAGACACGGCCTTCTGCAGCTCTGTCATCGCCTGGCGCTTCACCTCGTTGACAGCCTCCTCTGTGTGCCAGTCAGGACAAACCAGACAAGAAAACACCTCTCAGTTAGCTCAGGACATTGGATGTGGATTTCTTTTCTTTTAAATCTTTTTTTTTTTCTTTTCGGGTCAGGTATCACTATGTTGTCCAGCCTGGTCTCAAAACCCTGGGCTCAAGTGATCCTCTGCATCACTCTCCCCTAGCAGCTGGAATTATAGGCACCTGATAGCTACCATGCCCACTATCTGATTACTTTTATATAGAATTCTATAGAACAAGCATGACTCTCATCCAAATTATTGGGCAGTTTCAGCAGTCTAAAAACTAGCAGATCTAAGAATTAAAGGACAAGGACATTCGTAAGAAACCTGCATGAATAATTAAGACCCATAATGTTAGTTTTATACAATGCTGTAAGTTAATACTAATACAGGAAGATCCACAGATAAAGCATTCAGAAAAAAACATAGGGCAACAATGGATTTTACACATACACAAATAAGTGCAACCTATGAGTTGCTGGCAAAAACCGCAACACAATAGTGAAAATGTAACTCAGATGGCAATTAAGTTACTATAGACTTTTTAATGAAAACCACTGCTGTAACGGATGATCCAGTTTTACTCTTGAAAAGTCATTTCCTGAGTAATATGAGTATGTGCCTTTATAGATTAAATGATAGAGGTTTTTAAAAATAATCTCCTTTCTACATTTTAAGCTGTTGTCCATTTACTTTACCAAATATACACAGTGGTTTTGCATAACCAACTGTTGCACTAGACAAATATAACTGAATCATACCACAGGCCAAAACAATCAGGCCTGACTACAAATCTGCAAGGTGTCAAGCTCTTTATTTTTGGCTGAGGAAAGGGTGCAAAGATTCAACTAATGTAGAACATAAGATTGACAACTAAAACAAGTAATTTCCATTAAAAAAATTAACTGTTCTAATTAACAGGGGAAAATATCCTCCCCCTGAATTAGTTTATCTAATTTTCATCTTTATTCAAAGCAAAATGACAATGATTAATTGAAAATTTAATAAGCAGTAATTATTAACTTGGCAAACCTAGTACCAATTAACACTCTATTAAAACTAATTATGACATGTTTCATTCAAGTGTTTGCACTTAATTGTTTCACCCACTTAAAAAGCACCTTAATTAAATGTTCTGTTTAATTAAAAACATAGATTCCTAATAAAAATGTTTTACTGTAGATTAAAAATGTAAGAGATGCAAGTACTTCTATGGTTTCTTAAATTCCTATGGTTTATTTCACACATCTATACAGTCTATGACTTGAGAATCATCAGAAGCTCTCTATTGGTAATTAATTGTCATGACTTTTGTAGCCTCTGTCATTTTAGCAGCATTATATCTGAAGTACATTTGTTTACAATTACTGTGTGTTGGGTTTTATAAACTAAAATATAAGTAAAAAATTCATACTAGAAATAGTAACTAAAATATATTAAGCTTTTGTTAGCTGCTTTAAGGTATGCATTTAAAATCTGTGTAGAATCAGAGCACTGCAGAAAGAGCTTACAGCACCTTCTTCACCAGGAGGTGAAAAGATGCCTTTATAACCCTATCATAAATGACCTGGGGCACAAGGGAAGTACTGCCCTTCTAACTATACAGCCAGGGTCTAATTTAGTTTGAATATTCAAGGTGAATTAAAATTCTATCTAAGTGGTAATACAGGACAATAATTTTTGCTTACGATCAAAGCTGTAGCTTGACTAATTGTATATGCAAATCAGGCAATTTATATTTAAATTATGCATTCCTATTCTAATCCCACAGGCATATACAGATCAGCAAAGAGAATTGGTAGGACATTTGCAAGGTGCTTGAATATTTATTACCAACTGCAAACATTCTGATTGTGTAAAAAGAAATATACTGGAGAAAACATTCAGTTACCATTTTAAAACAATCTTTATGTTAGATTTTTTTCCAGTTTCATGAAGGCCCCTTGTAACTTTTGAGCACATTTGTTACTTTTGCTTTAAAAATACTACTTTTAGAGGAGAAGTGATGTGGCCGATTTCTAATCTTTAAAAATGTATGGTTATGTTATAATATTGTATTATTGGGGGCAATGTGAAAGATTTGCATAGGGTCTGCAGATGAAATAATAGTGTTATATCAATTCTGAATGTCTTGATTTTGGTAACTGTACTGAAGTTACATAGAATATTCTTGTTCTTGGGAAACTGAAACTCAAATCATTTAAGGTAAAGAGAAATTATGTCTGCAACTTACTCGCAAATGATTAGAAATATATATACATCTCAGGAAGAGAATGAAAGAGGAAAAGAGAAAATACTAAAGCAAGTATGATAAAATAAGGGAACTAGGTGAAAATTACAGAGGATTTTTTTTGGAATTTTTTTGCAACGTTTCTACATGTTTGAAATCATTTCAAAACAAAATGATGCAAAAAGCTGTATTATGTACTTTCAAGCACAGGGTATACTTTATTACAATTTTCTGTGAAAGTGGATGTATTCATTATGCTACATCAAGTTTTGGGAGTTCTTCCCCTTTTGTATTTTTCAAATGCTTTATTTACCTATCTTTTGCAACAAAAATATGTATAATAATTTCATTGCAAAGCACACTTTGTAGGTTTTCTTCAAAAAAATTTTTTTGCCCATAGCCAATTTTAGAAAGCTAGGATAAAAGCTTTCGAATTATAACAAGCTGAGTGCAGATGTCACATTCTGCCCTTGGTGTTTTCATCATGTTGGATGCCTTGACACTGAACACTAGAAAAGCCATTTAAGAAGCCTATAAAGATAAATATTATAAGTAGTTACTGGAGATTACCAGATGAAACTGTCATCCGTACTTTCAGGATTTAATATACCCCTTAAAATTTAGCATCATCCATAGAAAACTATTCCCAAACTGTTTTTAAGCAGCAGTTTAGAGATAACACTGTGAGAGAATACAAATTTAATGTCATATTTTAGACTGAACACCTATCGTAGATGAAAGACACTGTAATGAATAATCTAAACACTTCCCTGATATGGTTTAATTAGAGAGTGCAAGCACACAACAGAAACAAGTAGTGCTCTTTCTCTACTCTCTTAAGTCCCCAAAACCTAAATTACACCCAGAATTAGGTTTAAACCCCCCCAAAACAGACAGTAAAGAAAAATAATGGTGGATTCAATAGATAACAATATGTCACGTAGGAAAAAATAAACAACTGATTAAGTGGAAAATACATAGTGCAGCTTTGAATCTGCGTCCAATTGCTTACCACTTATGGTAGGACTTCCTTTATACACAGCTATTCAAGTTGACTTTCCAAGAAAGGTGCTATATTCAAGAAAATCTGTTCTCACTTAATAGCACTCAAACAAAGACTTGAGCAGATAATAGCACATAAGAAATCTGGATTACACAAAACCTTACTGGCATTTTTTCTTTATGAACTATCAAGAATTTAATTTAAATATACTTAAGAAGGAAAGTGCAGAGAAAAGACTCACTCCTCTGAACATAAAGTCACCCTTCCACTGTCCAAAATGACAATCATTTGTACCGCTTATTGGAATAAGTTTCACTGACAGCTTAGAAGTGGAGGAGAAAAACGGTCACGAGGAAGATGTATCAAGTCTTTTCAGGTAGGTGGCACTTGGCATATTTTTAACAGCTTGGGAGTACCACATGACTATTACCATAAATCTGGTAAAACTATGCAGTTGAGTAACATATATATTTTAACCTTTAAGCTAAATGGACCTATCTAATTTGCATGTTGGATGTTCAAGATGGCTTTCTGATTCTTAATCTAAGTTACTAAACCTAGAATGCTATCAGAATTTAAAGCTCATTATCACTCTTAAAAAAATAGGTATTTCTTGGAAAATGTATAAAAATACTTGCATAAGATACATGTGTTTAGAGAGTCAGCAAGTTACACAGAACTACAAACACAGCTGAGTGAAAACCCAAAGAAAAATCTTCTGTAGAAATAAAAAAACACAACAAAAAATATGTCCCCTGACTCTTCGATTTGTACTGTTTGTAGAAGTAGCATTTCCCAGTTTCCCAACTCAAAGAGACAAACTACTTTAAGAGTTAGAGTTACAGTAGCTCAAAGCCACAGTATATTTTTCATGTCATCTTTAACTCTTGAAACAGACTTATGTTTCATCTCCTGAGCTGGTTTTCATAAAGCTTTTTGCTTGCTAGGTAGTTCACCAAGATTCTCACAGATTTGGACCTATTTAAGTGCAATAACAAATCTGTGGGTCATGAGGAGCTTTAAATCTACTATTACAAAATATAGAGCAGCATCTCTTAATGGAAAATAGGTAGTGTATATGAAAAGCAAAAATAAATGTTTAGTAACTTTGTTATTTCACTTAAAGAGTAATTTAGCTCTGATTGTTGAATACTAATTAGTATAGAAGAATGATTTTAAAAGTTTATTGTAACCAAGAAATTATCTGAGTACTTTCACAAGTCAACCTGACTTAGTGTGAGTTTTTGTTTTTTTTTTAAGAATGCAAGAGAAAAGGCTGAAGCATGCAATTTAATTTCTAAAACACTGGGTTTTTTTCATCAAAGAAAAAAAAAATGCATGCAAGCTAAGACCTCCTATGCCAAGTTTCAGCCTGAAATCATTATGGCCCTGAAAAAATTGAGTTTTATAATGGAAATATTGCCAGCCTCTCAATTATAGTGAAACTGGCAGATGTTACTAAAATAAAAATGATTTCATCTTGTAATCAGGCCTGGTTTAAGAATATTAATCAGGTGTTTTGTTTTGTTTTGCTTTGTGGTTTTTTTTGTTTTGTTTTGTTTTTGCTGTTGTTGTTGTTAGCAGTAAAGTCCTTTCTTGTCATTCCTCACATCACTGCATTAACAACTGCACACAGCTGCCAGAACACGAAACTCGTGTTTTTAAACAATTCTTACCAGCTTTCTTCCAGATCTCCTCTGGCACGTATCCAGACGCAGGCCTGTGAAGGAATTCCCGATGCGCGTCTATGAAAAGGATGGGAAGGGGGTGGAGAGAGGAGAGTACTGTAAGCACACTTGTGTCATCGCACAGAGTGAAAGTAAGCAATGCCCATTCTCCTTTCTTCTCTACAAAAACATAATTTTAAAAGGCTAAACATTTCACTTCTTGAAAATACACAAAAATAGCAAGACCTGTCATCAGAGCCCAAGGAAAACTGAAGGTCATTGGTCTAAATGCCATGCATGCTCAAAGCCAAAGCGACTTGATTTTATTATACAATATAATGTTTGGGAACACTGTTCTCAGCACTCTCTCACTAAGGAGGCATCTATAGATATATTTTGTTAAGGAAAATAAATTGTATTTGGTAGTTTTCCTTTCAAGAGTCAAATTGGTAGTTAAAAAGTCAAATGTTCAGGTAATATAATTTCCATAGAGCTCTGATTCTGCCACCTTTCAAAGAAGAGCAAGCTCTACTCTGTGGCTAACCAGTTCTCACACTTAATTAATTCTTAAAAATCTCAGTAAGCATTAAAATTTTTCATCCAAATTAGATCATATGGATTTGACATGGGTGGATGCCAGAAAGACTCATTAGAATGGATTCACAGACATTCTGTTGAGCAAAGAGAATTAGCCCATGCTTTCCAGAAAAGGAAATGAAGTTCCACTTTAAATTAAATGCTGTGCTTACTATGCTTGTCAAATTTTAAGTTTGAGAAACTAATAATAACTTTCATATAGGAATGCTAACTCCTAAAACGATACGTTCATGGAAAAAACATGAAACATTCTGTAGTTTTTACATATGCTCAAAAGTAAACAAAGTGTATACAGTCTTCCATAACTAGAATATGCATTGAATATCTTCCATATTGGATTTTCAATGAAAGCCTTCTTATTTAGAAGAGTTCAGTAAGAAAAAAAATCATTTCAACTGTTATAAAACATAATTATTAAGCCCATGATAAATCCTGAGTAAAACTGAAATTTCTCTATGTGTACAGTAAATGTTGAGTAGCAGATATTTTTAAACAATACTTTATCTAACGGTTATGTTGAAGATCAAGAAATTCAGTAAAGTATTCTATATTTTATGGTGCTACACAATGTCAAAAGTAAAGAAAAGAACGATCAGTTAAGCTAAGTGTATGTTGTTACATTTGAATACTTTAAATATATCTGAATGCTTTGAACTCTTGCAGGACACATAGACTATCAACTGGCAAGAACATTAGATTTTCTCAATTATTCTGAATTAGCAAAAACTTCCTATGGCTTGGTGAAGAATATATGGAAACTCTAACATCTTTGCAATTTTTTAATCTAAAATTATTCCAAATTTTTAAAAGTTTATTTTCAAAAGTTTACACTGTAATGTTATGACAACTTAATAAAAGGATGGACTGGAAATTATGCATTCTCCTGCGTGCATTCATTTCTATAAAGTAAATGACAAAAATAAAAATGTTTTTACTGAAATAACTTCCAATCTTAAGGCAAGATAAAACTGGTACATAAATTATCTAAAAGAAATGTGATACAGCTAATTAGCTTTATCAAGATTATCTTCCTTATCACTATAACTATTTCTAGAATAAAGTACAATCAAGTTCATATTTAGTCATGTGACATAGTACAACACAGAGATTTACTTATGACAACATTTAAAGACAATTTTTAAGAAGACAAGACTTTGATTTAAGCATAATTTATTGGATAAGAATAAAAACAGATCTGTGAAGTCTGAAGATAGAAAAAACTTGACTCCAAAGTAGCAATTATTTTTCATTTATTATGTTAAGAGACCTGTAGTTCATAAAAATTATTATTTTTTTGTTTTTTTTGTTTTGTTTTGTTTTGTTTTTTTTTTTTTTTTGAGACAGAGTCTTGCTGTGTTGTCTAGGCTGGAGTGCAGTGGCACAGTCTCAGCTCACTGCAACCTCCGCCTCCTGGGTTAAGTGATTCTCCTGTCTCAGACTCTAGAGTAGCTGGGATTACCAGCACGTGCCACCATGCCCAGCTAATTTTTTGTATTTTTAGTAGAGATGGGGTTTCACCAGTTGGCTAGGCTGGTCTCAAACTTCTGACGTCACGTCACTCAGCCTCCCACCATGCTGGGATTACAGCCCTTCCAAAGTACTGAGATTACAGGTGTGAGCCTCCATGCCCAGCCTATAAACATTATTTTTTGATAAATAGCCAATCATTATGATAAAGAACAGAAAAAGTGATGTTAAGGTATCCAAAGTCCATGCATGAAAGATACTAATTACCAGCCCCAGGCAACATAGGCTGAAGAAAGTTAGTTCTAGCACCCAGTGAAACCAGCTACTGACCATGGAACAAAAGGTATGTTAGTTTGTCCACGTCTCAGATGCCTCATCTCTAATAAAGTGAGGACAATACTACTATTGTTTGAGAGCACTGCTCTGAGTATTGAAGGAGGTACCTCCTATTACATGCATACCGTAAACTCTCATCAGCTGGTGCTTGCTATTATCCTCATTATTATCATCATTGTTATTACTTAGTAGGTGGTCTAGTAAGAACAGCTATATAACTATTTCCTTATAAATAACTAAGGTGTAAAGAGTATTTTAAAGTTTATCTTTTCTCTCAATATTAAAAATCCAAATAGCACAAATTTTGAAGAGAACAAAGCCATTGAAGAAGTCTGGATTAAGCAATATACACCAAGTAATTTGTTAAACTCCCAGAGTCTATGTCACTTGGAAATAGACAATATTTCAATAGTTCACAATTCACTGCCTTTGTCCTTGGAAGCAAAATCCTCAGATTTCTTAGATGATACTTACAAAAATTTTACTTGAGCCTCACCCATGGAATGTGTATAACACCCAAATTGACTCAATTATGAACGTGCCAGGCTCAGCTGACCTCCCACCTTCTGTGGGTTGCACAGCAGGTGTCTTGAGGGTACGTATACCATACTGGAAAGTTGTGCAATGTTTCTTGCCTACATCTTCCTACATTTCTCACTGACATTGCCATGTCCACATAGGCCCAAACTTCAACTGACCTAGAAACCCAATAGCAATGCCAAAGCCAATCATGCAAAAGTTTTCTTAATGCTAACTACTTTCCAAAAGACATTTTTTCAAAACAGCAGAATCTAAAGGTAAATAATCATATATATATATATATATATATATTTTTTTTTTTACAATATCCTCTCTAGTTCAAAGTTAGTGTACTTAATAAACATGAGTTCTACCAACAGAAAGAACAGACTGATTGGTAGCAGGTGTACTCTTCAGAAATCTATTTGATACCCTGATGAACACTACTTTAATAGCTACAGAAACCAAATGACTAACATATTTAATATCTCCTCTTCTGATTAAGCAGCAGAAATTCAGAATCTATATAGGGAAAACTGAGTTTGAAAAACTAAACAAAGGACAGTTCTCTCCAAGGACTTTATTACTTTAGAATGCTGGCTATTCTAGACACATCTACATAAAACACCTTAAGATTCTAAGGCTTAGATTCTAAAGGAGCTAATTCTTAACCATTAACTCTTAACCACCCACAAAATATCAGTTGCTATAAAAATGAATCGGCATTCTGAAATGTAGTGGTAGAAACAAAGACAGAAGAACCTATATGAGATGGTTTAAAATGTGAACATATATGCAACTACTGAAAGGTGAAAAAAATATAGAAAAGTCCTTCTAAATTAAGTCTAGATTGCTTTGGGATACATATTGCTTGGGAGGTGACAGAGAAAGAGGATGAAGGGAGACTCCTGAAAATAATCCACATCTATGAAGAGAGGAGACCAGGCAGAGTGACTGAAAATGGTGTAAGAAATGTGAAAGAACAGAAAGAGCAATCTATGATGTATGAAAGAGATGGAAGATGCACTACACTTACGACAGGATGGAGACCATTGGATACTAGATACTGCAAGGGCCGCCATCAATATACATGAAGGGATGAGCTGATAGCCTTTGGAGAAGCAATGTGACCTCATATGACCCAGGACAGCAATGCTCAAAGCTTGGCAGCACCTAGGTATGGCCTTCATCCTGTAGTGGGCAGAATGAGGCTATGATCATGATAATATCTATTACAAAAACCATCAAAAGAAAGAAAGAGTTAAGTGATTTTATCTTTACAAATGCCACTTGTTTTTAAGGATAATACATTCAGAAATCTTCACACTAGGTTTCAGAAGCCCAAATCCAACCTAGAAGCCAGCAACTGCTTTAGGATTTCCACCTTTTACAACAAACATGTTTAATGTTCCAGGAAGTGACCATCTCTGACGGACATATTTAACGTCACATCTTTTTGAACCCACTATATTAAGTACAGTAGGTATTTGCATTATGAAGTCAGTTGAATGACTGTGAGATTCATTTCATGATGCAATTTAAAGAAATCAATATGAGTACAAAACTACAAACATTTACATGCAAATACACAAAGAATAACTTGTTTGTGATTTTTATATTCTGAGAATATAGAAGTTGAAATATTTCTTTGGCTGTGAGAAATCTACTTTTCTATACCCTTGTATTATGAATTAAGGTCCGAAAGGTACAACAGATTAACTATATTTAAGACAGGATTCTTTTCTAATCTCTGTGCCTATTAAAGTAGCCACCTGGTTAGAAGTACTTTCCAGACGAAAAAATACTGATGAACACTGTTACTTCACAATCTTGAATGCCAAGGAAAATTTTTACTAGTTTCATTTACTACTATTCTTTAAAGTTCTTCTTGATTTTATTTTTTTTTAATTAACTATTTAATTTTTTCAGACAAGGTCTCACTCTGTCACCCAGGTTGCAGGGCAGTGGCACAAACACGGCTCACTGCTACCTTGACCTCCTGGCCTCAATGAATCCTTCCATCTTAGCCTCCTGAACAACTGGGACCACAGGCATGCACCACCATGCCCAGCTAATTTTTTGATTTTTGGTAGAGATGGGGTCTCACTAAGTTTTCCAGGCTGGTCTCAAACTCATGGACTCAAGGGATCCTCTCACCTCAGCCTCCCAAAGTGCTGGGATTGTAGCATGAGCCACGACGCCCAGCCGAAAGTTCTTTTTAAGGGTATACATCTAAATAATATCTAAGCCATAACACGTCTACTAAGTGTCAGGCACTGTCCCATATGTTTTTTTTTTTTTTTTTTTTTTTTTTTTTTTTTTTCTTTTTTTTTTTTTTTTTTTTTTTTTTTTTTTTTTTTTACCTATTCACTTAATACAGAATGCCTATGAAATATGTATTACCATCCCCATTTTACACATGAGGAAACTGAAGCATGAAGAGATTATGACCTGCCAGGCTGGGCGCAGCGGTTCACGCCTGTAATCCTAGTACTTTGGGAGGTGAAGGCAGGCAGATCACGAGGTCAGGAGTTCAAGACCAGCCTGACCAACATGGTGAAGTCCAGTCTCTACCAAAAATACAAAAATTAGCTGGGCGTGGTGGCGCATGCCTGTAATCCCAGCTACTCAGGAGGCTGAGGCAGGAGAATTGCTTGATCCTCGTAGGCGGATGCTGCAGCAAGCCGAGATTGCGCCACTGCACTCCAGCCTAGGTGACAGAGCAAGACTCCATCTCAAAAAATTAAATTAAATTAAAAAAAAAAGACAGAGAGAGGTTACGACCTGCCAAAGTCCGCAAAATTAATATGGAGAGGAATGAATAATTCTAATCTAGCAATTCTACTGAGTTTGTGCTTTCAACCTTTATGCTAGATTTCCTGAGGATTTAGAGAGCAATGAGAAATCCCATTATTCAATCATATGACAATCATAAAACTTGCCAGCTAGCAGAATTTTAAAATATTAATTCCTCTACCAACCTACTTGGGACAGAGGATGGTATTAATTCAACAGACTCCTGAATTGCTAAGCTTTTTATGAATGCTAAGCTTGATTTTCATTACACTTAAGACAAACAAACAAAACTTTTTGATAATTCTCTGGCCAGTACTAAACCCTTAAGAGAGTGAAATATTTTCTAAATTTACTACCTTGTCATCACAATATTCATACATTTTTTTAAAGCACAGGGAAAATGCATTTATATTTCAGAGTTTATGTCTCAGTCCCTGACATTAGCCCTAAACCTACTGCTGTATTAGAAAAAAATTTTGGCCAGGCACAGTGGCTCACGCCTGTAATCCTAGCATTTTGGGAGGCCAGGGTAGGCAGATCACTTCAGCTCAGGAGTTCAAAACCAGCCTGGGCAATGTGCCAAAATCCTATCCCTACAAAAAATACAAAAAAAAAAAAAAAAAATAGCTGGGCATGGTAGCGGGCACCTGTGGTCCCAGCTACTTAGGAGGCTGAGGTGGGAGCCCAGGAGGTCAAGGCTGTAGTGAGTTGAGATTATGCCACCACACTCCAGCCTAGGTAACAAAATGAGACTCTTTCTAAAATAATAATAATAATAATAATATTATTATTATTATTTAACTCTCTCTAACGATGTGGAAGACTTCTAGAAAACAAAGAGAGCATACACAGATACAAGATAAACTACAGAAAGAGTCTAGAATAGTTGAAAGGCAGTTAAAATGGAAGTAATTTAAAAGAAATAAAATGTCAGGAGGCAAGAGAGTGATGTGACAACATTCTGAGAGAGAAGGCAACCAAAGACAAAGAAAGGAAAAAGAGCTGCTATGGAGATTCCGATAAACACTTCAGAAAACACAGGAAGTGCTAACCAGCAACCGCCTGTCTACACATATAATATAAAAGCAATTCGACTTCAGTGGTCAAATCTGCCAATTCTGATCACGTCGTCTTGCTCTTCCGTGTAGTATACAAGGTAATAAAACTTAAATGTATAAATAAGTCATACTTTGAAAAGAGACAGCAGTTTTAAATTTTGCTTTCTAATTTTATTAAAAGTTGGCTATTTGGAGTTTTCCCTTGAAAGAAAATGAGTAACAACAGTAGAAATAACAAATATTTATTATTTCAAGAAAATGTATTTTATGAAAAGTCCTTCAAGATGTCAATTTTCGTTTTATTTAAAGAACAGAAATACCATTATGAATTCAGTCTGTATTCAGTGTTTAAAATTGTTTCAGAGGCTATTCAAAATAGAGATTTTAGTATCTTGGGAAAACTAAAATTCAATTTGTAATAGATTAATCAAGTTATTTTACTAATCCCCTAAACTCACTTAATACTATGAATATATTTCAAAAGTGAGAATAGGATTGAGTTTAACAAGTACAACACATCAGTCATGAAAGTTACATTATCCTCTCTGCAGTCCCCAAATATAATTTTAAACTGCTAAGAATGTGTGTATGACTAAACATTCCCAGTGTTTCCAAGTTAGGGACATAAGTAGGGCAATATTTTGAACCAAGGATATCTTCTGTAATATATTCTGAAAGTCTCATTTGAGACCAGGCAGTGGTTGAAGAGGCAAAAGAATTAGACTAAAAGAAACACATGCAATAAAACTGTGGAATACGGAGATCTACATGTAAATAAAGATATAGACATATCCATAGCTTTATCTGTGCACATGCACTCCATTAAACACTTTCCAGCCACAGAAAATAGATTTATCAGCCAATCTTCTCCAATCCTTTCATTACACACATCAATCCATTCAACTCCAAAGCTTGGAAGAGAGACTTAGAAACCACTTAATGTAAATGATTGTGGGTCATAATTACGAACCACCTGTCCTCTTATTTACAGCCATAGCTCAGTCCCAGAAAATAGAATACAAGGCTGCAAGAATCCGCTAGTAAGGATGCACTGTGAAAACACTATGGAATGCTAAAACTTGCAGACTGCAGAGTTCTACACAGGTTTTCTCTAGTTATGATAGTGTCTTAATGGCAATTTAGGGTTCTGTGTCCATAAAGAACATCATATTTTCATGTTGTCTATAAACAAAGAAATTTAATGCTTATAGCCTTTGACTAATTCAACCTTTAGCTTAAAGCCAAAAAAAAAAAAAAAAAATCTCAGGTTTAACAAAAATAAAAATTCATTAACATCACTAAAAATAGTATAGTTTGTATACTTTTAAAAAGGAGGTTTTTAAAACCAAGTTTATTCTTTTGGTGATATAACAGGAACAATGAATGTCTCTTCCTAGAGAACATGATATACACCTGTATCACCAGAATCAGTGTGTTATAGTAGTGACTATACACTAAATGGCTCTTGTTCAATGTGCTGGTAACTCACTTAGGTATGAAGTCTGATCAATTCTGGAGATGCTTCTTTTACAGTGGATGGCTGATAATAGCAATCTGGTCAGTTTGGCTGACTGAACTGAGGTAGCTATCCTGTGGCCTGAAGACTAGCTATTCCCTTGCCTTCTCCCACTAGATCGAAAGGCCCTCAAAGAAAGAAACAAAGACTTGTTTGACTTCATTAGAATGCCTAGCACACGCCTGGCACATAGTAGTGTTCAATAAATAAGTACTGATTCAATGAATGTGTTCAATAGAATAAGTCAAACTACATGTTTTAACTCCCAAAGTTTTATTTACTTTAAGGCTCTCAATTTTTGCCTAGACTGGATGGTTATAAATATCCCCTCTGTCCTAAGCAAATCTCTCATGATTAATCAATTTTTGTTCACAATAAGGAAATAAACACTAGATTTTTTTTCTACTTTGCTCTAAATAGTTTGGCTTCGACCAATATTGGCTCAAACCAAATGTAATTCTGTTTTCATTGCTTGCCATAATGTGACCTGACAAATTCAATTTTGTCTTTAAAATATGCTTTAGAATAATGCTTGTTAAGTAAACTAAGTGCCTTAGACTCCTCCATTATTTAATGCTTACAATACAGGCATTCAGCATTGAGAGATTAGCAGAAATCTACAAACCTAAGTGTGTAGGAAACTGCACTGGCTGGGACCAATTTAAAAACAACAATGTGATCAACAGCCAGATAATATACTTGAAGTTTTTAACTTTTGATAATCAGCCATAGTATCAATGGGGCCAAACTTATGAGCTTAATCTGCACAGACTTTGCAGCATGGACAGTACTTTAACCTGAGTTAGCAGATGGGTATGGGGCTAAACACATAAGAGAATAGGAGAGACACAAGGATCCACACAAATCCATCTCCCTAAGCTTACTCAAAAGGTATTCACACATAATGGGTGGCAATGTCAACAACAAAACCTTATTATTAATTTAGGTAACAGTTCACAGGCCACAGAAAAATTCTTTCAGGTTGAAGATTTCTTTCAACATATTTGGGATTATATTCTATCTATAACCTCAACAATTCCCAAATATCAATAAGAAATATAGTTACATACTAACATTCCATTACTAAGGCACAACTACATTATGAGTCCTATTATAAAACCAGAATTAATACAATCATGATTAAGTAATCTAAGTTAAGATCAAATCACAGGAAGAGTGCTACATTATCATTAATTATAAAATAGCTGTAGGCAAAATATATAGCTTTTAGGTCTGTCTTCCTGGAGGGGTTTTGAGAAAAAGTTGCTTTTTTTTTTTTTTTAAAAATGAGATTCAACTAACAAACAAGATTGTCTTACAGGCTGTTTTCGGAATTAATAATTTGAAACATAAATCCCTGTGTGCAGCGTTTGGTATGCAGTGGCAGAATTCATTGGAGACCTTGTTAGAAGTGCCTAAGCCCCGGGCCCACTCCCTGAAATGATTTTTGCTGTTTTGAGGCATTATAAAGGAACACAAATTTTAGTTACGCACATGAAATTCTGGTTCAGTGTTGAAACTCTGCCATCAGCTCAATACATTCACCTGGAAATGGAATTTAAGTTTGTGGCTATCTCTGTCTATGCCAATCTGCTCAAATTCCTAACAGACAGACAAGACATATTGGAGGATATGTAAATTGTTTATTGTCTTAAAATTCCTTGCAGATCCTTTAATTTTAAAAAGAAGTTAAAAATAAATTCAGCATTGACAACATAAGAAATATGTGTTTGAGATACTCATCTGAAGAAAAGTTACCTAGTGCAACTGGGTCTGGGTTGACGGGACTCTGCTGCCTGGAGTGGCTGCTGCTACTGCCGCCACCTTTTTTTAAGTCCTCGGCGTCACTGTATCGCCGGATCCAGTAATTCAATTCTTCCCGGTCTGCTTCTTGACACCGCCTTAGCACGGTGAGAGATCGCCTTGTTTTTTCTACCATGTCCATTATGCAGTTTAACAGCTATGTGGCAAAGGGGAGAATTGGGAAGAGCATATAAATCATCAAAATTAAATATTTTGCTGATTAGTCAAACAAACCATTTCGGGACAATGAAGGAAGCAATTTTATCCCTTAATATTTTCTATGGCTAGATTTGAAACTCAGAGACAATGGATGAGAAAATTCAATGGGCATGAGAAGATGGATATATGAACATTGAGTCAGAAGGAAAATTTTACCTGAAGGCATTAAAGCCAGTAAATCCATCTCTCCAAATACTAATCCCATTACTTTATAAACTAAAGGACCGTTTCACAATAAAACAGTAACCCACTGATCTGACTTTGATAACTCCTTTCTAAGATCTAAACATTTCTCTTAAGTGGCTTTCACATCGATTTAGAAATCAAATCCTATATTCTGCTTCGAACATTCTCACTCATTATTCTTTTTCAAGGATAACAGGAAACACAGTACCTTCAAAGCATCACCAAGCTTTTACTTTATCACATAACCCCACTCCGGTTGTTTTCCAAACATTTTTTAATCCCAAATGATTACTGATGTCTTACATGGTCAAGATGTTTCCACTCTTCTGCCCATTCTCTGTCTGTTAGTCTGTGATCGATCATTTCTTCTTGACGTGTGCCATGCAACCCTACAAAAACAGAGAAGGCTGAATCACCCTAAAGCATTCAATACACAACCCATACACACACAGACTCATCGCAAGGACTATGTGGGCAAACTCAATGACATAAAACACATTTGATTTTGAATGGAGACATGAGTCATACTTAGATTCAGAATTACCTAATGGGTTCCTCATAGAATAAAATATTAGAACTAGAAGGAATTTTAGAGGTCATCTAGTCAGAAGCATTTGTTTTACATATAAGGAGACAGTTAAGTGACACCAAGACTACAGCTAGTTATCCATGGAACACTCCCTAAGTAAAAATATATTCTAACTCTACTTTTGTACCAATCCGGTAAAATAAAAAATGAATAAATAAATAAATAATATATATATTCTAACTCTTAATAAATACAAGAAACCACAAGTAGATATTAAGTGGTTTTAAAGCATTGCTGTCCTGCATTAAAACTAAAGACAGCATAAGTCATTTTACATGGGAAGGGATATGCTTTCCCAAAACAGGCATGCTAAATTTTTCCACATTTCAATAACATTGCATGAATGAATACAATCCTAACACATATACATCCATGATAAAATTAAACCATGAAGAGAAGGCTTGTATAATATGGAGCTACATATACTCACTCGGTTTACCACAAAATAAAAAATAAATAAAAGTAAATTGGAAATTCTTCATGAAAACAATAAACGTATCAGATATAATTTGACAAATATTATAAATCCAAGTGAATAAACTGAAAAATACCTAATTTGAAGTCCATAAGTTGTAATGCTCTTTAGCATCATAGTTAAGATACCAGCATGAAAAAGCAATAATAAGTATTACTTTTTATACTCACTTGGTAAGTATTTACCAAGTGAACACCAAAATATTAATTAATGTAAGCAGTTAGCTAGGATGCTCATTAAAATAGGAAGTAAACGTGTCTCACTAAAAAGATAGGATGGGTCAGGTGTGGTATCTCACGCCTGCACCCAGCACTTTGGGAGGCCGAGGCGGGCGAATCACAAGGTCAGGAGATAGAGACCATCCCGGCCAATGTGGTGAAACCCATCTCCACTAAATTAAATACAAAAAATTAGCCAGGTGTGATGACGCATGCCTATAGTACTAGCTACTCAGGAGGCTGAGGCAGGAGAATTGCTTGAACCCAGGAGGTGGAGGCTGCAGTGAGCCAAGATCATGCCACTGCACTCTAGCCTGGGTGACAGAGCAAGACCATNAAAAAAAAAAAAAAAAAAAAAAAAAAAAAAAAAAAAAAAAAAAAAAAAAAAAAAAAGGATGAACGGCTCTGATCAGAGAAACCTGGAAACTGTTGTTCCTTTTACATAATCACTTTATATTCTACTGTAAAGGAAAGCCATGGGGCTGTGGCATTATTTTGCATTCTAAATGATCAAAACTATTATTTTTGGTTACCAATTCTCAAAATGTTACTCTGAACAACAAATAAAGTTTGTCATGGTTTGGGCTTCTAGATAACTGGGCTACCTCTCTGTGAAATTTATGTAAGAATTAAATGACAATAGGAGTTACAAGACACTGAATTTCACTTTTTGTGAGATTTAAGTGGTTAGAAATCCCTTCTTTTAGCTGATTTACACAAATAAAGATGAGTCACATGACTGTGTTCAGCCAACCATGTAATGCAATTTCATTTACAACTGATGAAAGTGAATAAATTTATGACAGCCCTTTCTCAGACTAAATAAAAAGCTAAATGTAAGACACCTTGTACTATTCCTGTCCAATCAGAACATATTCTGAGATACATTTTAAAAGTTAAAATTGTCAATGCCATCTATTGGTAAAAAAGTAAAAGTGTAAATATGTTGAAAAAATATTTAGTTGTTGCTCTGTTGTGATTATTTCGAGTTGAAATGTTTGCAAATATGTTATTTTTGTTAACTTATTTGTTGCCTGTGTTTTAGGGAAAAACCATTACTGTTAAAATTAGTCACCACAGAGAACAACTAGAAAGTGATAACGATATAAATGTGACAGTGACTTTCATGTTAGAGGCATCTGAATATTAGACTTTAAGGAAAAGAATTCCAGAGATCTCAAAAGCTTGAAAAATTCAGCAGACAAAAATCAATTGTAACACAAGCCATAACACCTGGAGAAATATTAATGAGCAACAAGATATCTGTGGCTAGTAGGATTTCAGCATTTATAAAACAGTACTAAGCTTCAATTTATTTTTAAAAAAATACTAAGTGCATTAGAAACATGTAAAATATGATATTCATTTGCTGCTTTTGAACCCTGAAAGTCATTTGTTGGATATAATCAAATCTTTAAAAATAAAAAATAAATCAAGATTTTTGGTTTATTAATTTATCTATTTAAGATACTTAAATATTCAGCAACACCCAATTTTTATTTTCATAATACCAGGGGGATGTATTGGGGGAAACAGCTCATAATCATTAAATAGCTCATAATCACATTTGCATTTGTGGGAAATTTGACACTAATGTTGAGTCTTAACTGGTTATTATGTTTTAGAATATTTTAGCTAACTAGAATAAAACTCTAAGCTTACTTGTAAACTAATGCTGCTAACAAGTTACTTTACTAAAGGATCCTAGTGAGTATATGTCCCTACACATAATGGGAACTTATAAATCGTAGCAGACTAAGTATATGTTTATGACAATTTTTATATTCTCAAAATGGCAGCCTGATGTAACACCATAATTTGTTGCTCATACATCAAGATTTTATTTTATATTAACACACACTAAACTCTGCCAGACTTTAGGGATGGTTTAGTAGCTGCACATATTTATAGAGATTAGCACTATTAGTTTTATAAGCTAATATAATTAAAAGGTAAGGAACACAGTCTGAAGAAAATAACATAAAACCAATGGATACCAATATAATTCATAAAGGGATATTTTACATTACTTGATGAAAACATAATCATTGCACATAAGTATAATTACTTCCTTGCTGATTACTGTATAGTGCACTGGAACTAATATTTCACAAAATATCACCTGCTGCCTAAGAAACAGGCCATTTGCTAGCACACCTATAAAACTGGATCCCTTGAACTGGTTTCACAGTGACCTGATGACTCCACTGCTATTTAAAAACTTGCAATCATGATTTTCAGTCCTTAAGTCATAAATAAGTGGAAAGGCTTTGTGTAGAAGAGGGCTGTTATCACATTTGATTTGGGGGCCAAAATATCAATCCAGATCAAGAAATAACATAACCACCTTTGAAAGCTCTTCAGAAATGATACCTGTGAGAACGTTAGACAGATTGGCTATTAAGAAAGCACAAATTATATGTTTAGCCATTTGTCTGACACACTATATAAACGTAGAAATTACTGTTGTGGAGAACCAGAACTACTAATTTACTGTCTCACAACCAAAGCCTCAATTGCCCCTCCTTTCACCCTGACTCTCTTTCTGTTTTCTAAACATTTGGGAAGTTGGGTGCAGAAAGGCAAAAAAGGCCCTACACATAGCAGCACCCGTTTGCTAGCAACGTAGCTGGAACTCTAATGTAAACTTCTATATATCAGGTTCCTTCTGTGTGTGGCTAAAAACAAATCAAAACAAAACAAAAACAAAAAACACCATCACTGTAATCAAGTAGTGCATAACTGGCTGGCTGCATGCCCCAGAATTCTGTATTTTCAGCTTCGTTTTCTGGTTTTCGACTAGGACTTCCCCCACCTGCTCTTTCCAGGGTCCTGGCCACTAAGTCACCCACGTCAGGAAAGTTTGCCAGCAACTAGTTACAAGATAGAGAAAGTCCTGTTGGTGGGTGATGTGGACACAGGAGATCAAAAAAGAAGAGGAGACTATTGCTCTCAGACCTATCACAAATTAAGAACTGAAGGCACCCAAGTAACAGTATACTTACTAATAACGCTCTGACACACCATCATCTCTACCACTGAACCACTGATCCTGTGTTTAAAAAACAACTTACCTTGTTCATCTTCTCTCTCATTTTTCACGGTAGACATTTGTTCTATAGAAGGCAATGTCTTCAAAATGCTTTACTACTTTTCTTTTTTCTTTTTCTTTCTTTTTTTTTT